AATTTTCATCCCAGATTATTGTCCATCCCATACTATTGATACCCATTAGGTAAAAGCACACTTTTATAGTAAGTCTACATAAAATCTATAATTTAATGTAAAAACTTTTACAATTTGTAAATATTGTTTGTGTAACCCATCATTTTGGCTTTAAGGCCACCTAAGTCTCTGCTATTGTACTTCAGTTGGGAGGTGCGTCCTCCGGACCATGACAACAACCCTTAGCCATTCTGTGCCTCAGCAATACATTTTCTGGCCTGGTATTATGAATCCCTTTTAACTTCAGGAAAGACTTGGGATGCCCCAAATTAGCTTGTCAAAATAATAGCAGTGAATGTAATAAAGACAACTGTGGGACAGATTATGTAGGATCTACTTACGAGATATCAAATCATGCGTGTATCTGCGTCCACTGAATTGAGTATTATGACGTTTATCAGTAGTCTGGTTTGAGCTGAATTTATTTTAATCAAATCAATTTAACAAAGCCTGGCTATTGAAGCAATAAAGATATACAGCCACCACACTCACACCGCATATTGACAATGCTTTGAAAAGACTTATATACCCTCTAAACAGCGTGAATTCCTTGTTTTATCCACTCGAGATGCTGCTTGTATTAATCCACGGGAGATGTAAATGATAGGTAGATGTGGCAATTTTTTCATACAGCTATCCTCTGGTAATTTTAAGGCGAAATGTTCCACTTTTTATTGCTCTAGACCCTCTAGATTCAATCCTATTTGACTTATCTGTATTAGTAGTAAATTGAGTAAGCGATGGTTGAAATGGGCTGACAGTTAAGCACCTGTCCAATTCAACTAACTAAACTACAAATTGAATGAATACCGCCATTGGCTGAGAGAAGTTATTAGAGAAGGCAGTTCATCAGTCTTCCGCCGATGTTTGTCAATAAGTTCGGCAGCTTAACCTGTAAAAATTCTAGTTTATGTAGTATTTTTATGAATCCGATCACATCTACTACGTGGGACCGCACTGCACATTGATGCACCACAGCTGCTATTCGGGAAATAAATCTGTAGTGATTCCATTTTGTTCGTCTTGGCGCATTTAGGTGGGCAAAGTATTAAGCTAGAATAGTCTTTGCGTACAGAAGTGATGGGAATCTGCAGAGCTAAAGCTTTGCACTATACCACCATAGTAATGTAAACCTGAGTGGACCAGTAACTTGAGAAGTCAGCTTGACCCATTACTCTTAGCAACGCATATCAAACTGAATCATCAGATTTGAATTTGCGGCAAATGTGTGAAGTTATAGGGCTTTAACAGCTTGAAATCTTAAGTTCTCCGAGCTCAATCCCAATTTGCTTGCAATCACGTCCAGAAATTCTTGTAGACTCTAACGCTTGACTGTCCTCTATCAATGGAAAGTTTTAACACGCCTTGAGAAGTGACTCAAAATATTGTACTGGTGACACTGTATCAAAACTCGACGAATGGGGACTGGTCACCCGGGCTCAAGAGTTGTGGGCTCACGCTCGACCTCACTTTTGGGCTGCCATAATCGGCTTGATATTAGATTCAAATTCGAAAAGGTAAGCAATCTTTTTTAATCCCATTCAAAAAGAGCCACACGCTCTTCTACTGTATCAAATATGTCACGGGTTGACGCAAAAACTGTGCTTGGTTTATGGATGCGCATATGACTTCGACCTAAATTTATCGCCTAAGAACTGTGAAGAAAATTATGAAAAATTGCGTCTTTATTTCATCTATACTCAAAGACAAGGGCTTAGCCATTGAACCTCAAACATCAATAGCAACCAGTCGTCTTAAACAAATGCGTACCAATTAATACCTTTCTTGAGTTGCTGGAATTGGCCCTTTCAGACCAAAGTTTGTATAAGCCCAGCAAAAAAAAGGCGGAAGATAACAAAACAAAGGAAGTGATATCTGGAGAGAATACGGAGGGAAAATTGAGCATACCCCCATTTGATGGGCATAACCTTCGAGTTGAGTATCACTGGCAGAGATGGCATTAGAAAGAAGGCTTGTGTGGAGGCAGATATAAACAATATTTCTGAGTGAATTTTTACCAAGGGGTGCCACGTTCTCTGGGCGCTGAAAGAACAATTCCCTTAAATTAGAATTTCTTCTTAGAAATGCATATGCATCTGGATAGCAGGAATCGTAGAACACCGGAAAGGTCAAGTGAATGTGTCAAGACAGATTGCATTAAAATAGGAAGAAAGATAACTGATTTTGCAAAATTTTGCTTACCTTCTGAAAAGTGATCATTCTACTTTGCTCAAAATTTGAGTTAATGACCATGCTTAATATTTTACTAATATTATTTCGAAGTACTGCGATACAATTGCGCAGGATGGTATTAATCACCAGCATACAGATTATCTGGAAGGCATGACATATGGAAGGTTGCAGAAGAATTCCATTAATATCTAGCATCGAAGGTGTCAGTTTATTTCGGCTAATATTTTCTTCAGAAATCTCTGGTGCTCCGAGTTCTCACCCCCCCCCCCCTTCTGTTAAAAGGACTCCAGCATTGGTATTACATTGCCATCAATCATTCTATGAGGATTTCAGTATCCAAACTTGTGCAGCTGTCACAATGTGGGAATAGACACGTCTTCTCATGCCATAAAAGCAGTAGTATCTTAAGTTGTATCCATACATGTGCCTTCATCAGAGAGAGGAAAGCAGTTTCTCAAGTGCAGCCCTCAAGTCTTCTCTGAAAGCGTAATTGGCCAAAGTGGTGTGGTGGAATGTACTACTCCGTAAAGTACAGAGTAGCTAAGGGACTATTAGCTTGACCCGAAGACCATAACGCGAAGTAACTGTGCGGCATGCAAAGACTCAGAAATGCAGGTAGTCAAATACACAGTTAAGTAATGTGTCAAATCATGGCGTATGGTCTAAAATCAACTCTGACGTCATGCTGCGACAAAAAATACAATGTTTCCTTTTTTAAAAAATGACAAAAGAGAGACAGATTTTACACTATTAGGGGAAGCTTCAATAACTCCCCAAAGTCTCAAATCATGGTCTGTCAAATTTACTTTTCATTTTCCTCTCCCAATTATCGAGATAGAGCACACATTTTGCGAAAGTCTATTTCTATAAAAATTAATAGTCTTTATTAAACCAGAACCTAACTAGATTCTGCTTGAAAACTTAAGGTCTGCTATATAAGGCACAAAGTTTCGCTTACTTTTTTTGTTTTTTTGCAAAAGTTGACTATACAAGCGTATTAAATTATTAAAACCGGCTTCTTTAAGTTGCCATCCAATTTCCCTTCATTTTACTAGAGGAAAAACCAAAAAAAGATCAGATATAATGGCTGAAAGTGATGTAGAAATGACTTGCCCCTTTAAAGCTGAAGCCTTAACACAGAATGTTATGGGGATCTACCAGAACGATAACAAGTGCTTAAATGCATTGCCATTAATATAGTGATTTGATAATCTGTGGGTTGAGATGTGAATTGTTGTGCTTTTACTACGCAGCATGACTTTTTGACCATGACAGCACCCTATTAGCTCCTCCGTAAGTGAGCTAGCATTATTTTGTTCTGTATCACTTGGGTTTATTATCACTTCAGTAAAGACTCAAAAATACATATTAACACATATAAGCAATAGATTTGTCTTTCAGAATGTACTGGCTTTTATAAATTCAATTGCAGCCAAAGCTAACTAAAAGGAACTTATTGGCAGACCTCTGGAATTGCTAGCTTAATAATTTTTTTAGCATTCATCACTAAATGCATGACTTAACACGCATAAGGTCAAGGTGCTTATAGGCCTCCTGTTAGGTGTTGCGAGAAACACTGAAGTATGCTGTGTTTCTAAAAACCGGTGATTATTTGCTTAGGCACAAACGAAATCGGGATCTTACCTGTAAAAATCAAGTGCTAGGACTTTGGGCAACCGAAGCCTTTCCTCAAGATGATGTATTTATAGTCAGGTACAGTATCCAAGTCAGCATTCGCCCCTAGATAGATTAAAATCCCTTAATAGTCATCATTCTCACATATTTAAAGCATTGTGAATGGTCATAGATCTACTTGACTGCCAACACATGTAGAGAGCTTGTCCACAACGATGATGGTCAACTAAAGGCGAGCCCAAATTAGTAACTATTATAAAAATTCTGGAAGTCAACTTAAATGGAAAAGAGTTTTTAGGTTAAGAGACATCGCCACCACTATCTAGTTGGTATCATTCATAAAAGAACTACCTAGAAACTTCCCATATAAATTTGACGGTCATTTTACTCCTGGAATAAAACCCCCCTTAAAAGCTGTGGAGTAGTGAAGACGTCATTCAGGGGGTTGATAGGGGCCGAACATGCAGTGAATGAGTGAATGAATAGAGAAGATCCAAATTAAGAAATAAGATTTGAATGTAAGAAAGTGGCCAGATTTCGTTTCGTGACTCACTAGAGTATAATTTGAAGGTCATCACAGCTGTCAAATACGAGAAGGAGAATCAATGAGACAAAAACTTCGTATTGGCTAAAAATGCCTTATTCTCTACTTTACCGAAATGCAAAAGGTAGAGGAAAGTGGTCTGGAATAAGATGAAGTTTATATGCTTGCAAAAATACGTTAATATATTTAAAGTGAAATTAATTGCGTTTATGTGCTTTTAGGGAAAATTTTGACCCTATAAATATGACTCTAATGCGCAACTACTCCATCAATAGTCCTTTCAATTTCTAGATTTCATTGTTCGCTGTATTTGAACTATATAGTCAGAAATTTCGTGCGATTTTTCATTGTTATTTTTAACAGGCTAATAGTGCAATCAAACTCACTTTTCTTGTGGTTAGTTTTAGAATCAGAGCTTCTTTCTGACCAACACATGAAAGAACAGTTGGCCATTGAGTATATCACATCATCTTCGTTTTTAGAATGATCTGGTCCTGTAAAACTAATGCTAGCTGTTGGCGTCGTTTCCATCCCTCCGGCAGAACGAAACCGGGTTAGCACGATATTACGCATGGTAGACAGGCTGACAACTGGCATAAATAAAATTTTATAAGGTATTATAAAGTAAATAAAAGAACAACTTTTTGCCGTTGAATGATTGTAAACATCAAAGTCGTGAATAGTAATACTTATTTTGTCATTTTCTACGTAATTTTAACCATGTCAGATAACCACCTGGCTTACCCCCCGCTTTTACCGCAGAATGTTATTACATTTTTAAGCAATATTATGTGTTTGCTTTCAGAGATTACAGAAAATGGAGTTGTTGCATTAGAAAACCACATATTTTTCCAGCCATATTGTAGAGGGTGGATATAAGGCAATGTTTAGCTGAAGTCGTTATAAGCCAACGTAGTATGGCTGAACGTACTGCTTGAAAAAGTACAGAAGAGCTGAATCTCTACCAGCATGATCCCAGAACTGTACGAGAGAGGCTGTTTAACTTGCAAAGGCTTAAGTACGTGCTCAGTTAAATACACAGCTAAATAAAACACTAAGTTGCAGCAATGTATTTTTAAATGCTTTGTCACTTTAAGATTACACTTTTATTTTAAATCGGTATGTTACCACTAGGTCACATTGATTTTGTTAATATTTGCCGTTAATGGAGGTACTTCCACACATTTTGCAAGAAAGAAAATGTAAATAGTGCTTCTGCAAAGTCTTTCTAGTTTCAGTTAGCCTTAGCAACTTGTAAATCAGCTTATTTGCATTCCTACGCGAAGCTAACAGGAGGAAATGGGGATCGGCAATGTCGCCATTGGGATCACAGTCGTCTTTACCCAAAATAGTAGGTATCGACATTTATCTTAAGGCTGGCTCTCACTTAAAAGCTATTGTCGAACTGAATTGCTTCTTTGAGGGTTAGTCTTGACAATCCTTCCTGTTACAACCTTAACCTTCCTTTCCTACTATTTGACACTTATAGAAAAGGATAGTAAAAGATCATACCCCAATATTCATCAAGATAAGGGGCCATTCAATTCTGCCAATGATAATGCTCATGTATTGGCCTTAGTGCTTTGAGGAAAATCTGTTCTGCTTTAAAATGGATTTTCTGATTCAGTCATTCTAGATGGATTGAGAAGCTGAGGATATATAAATTCTCTGCACGAGCTTCGTTACGTAAAAGACTGATGTATCGCTATAAAATAAAGGCGGACAGTAGCACCAATGGCAAGACCAAATTTTCGCCACTTGTAAAAAACCATCAAAAATTGATGCCGAAACTGGAAAAATTGCTTGCCCTTTGCACCGAAATGAACCCATTGTACAGCAGTTTGCAAAAAAAACTGACGAATGTCTGGCCGCTAGCAAATAAAGTACCCACAGAAAGAAGAAGGCTCTTAAATAATCCGCGTTTTCCCCTTAAAGATGGTCGTATCAAATAGATTAGTGACTAAAAACTTGGTGCAAAAAGAATTACATGACATCAAAGTGAGTTGAGGTGTTCGACTATATGTATCTTTTTAAAACAATGTACTATTCTTAGACCATAGAAAAGCAGAAGTAGCGATTGAGAAGTAGCCGGCTTTGACAGGTGGAAAAGTCAAAATTTGTATTATGAAGAAGTGTCAGAATGACCTTGTAGTGGTCCTATTTGAAAGCCTCCTTGAACAAAGCTAAATTCAAATCATTCGGATTCAAAGGTGGATGGATCTTTCAGGGTTGATGTGAGAATATAATTAAGATAATTTAAGTGGCTTATAGATAAACGACTTTTGAAAGAAAAAAAATAACTTTAGTGCGTATCTAATTATTCGAGGGAGGTAATGTATAATCGAGAAGAAAAATAGAATTTGGAGACCTAAAATAAGTTTTAACATGTCTCAAATCACCACTTCTATGCTAGAGATCGCTAAAGTTTGAATTAATTATAAGCCTTAAAAGTTCTTATTTGCATTTCGGAGCTCTGATTCAGCACCACTTTTCTATTATCGGAAATATTTTAAGACAGCCCTAAGAGGAAGGCCGCCTAAACTTGCAAACGTAAAAGGAAATTCCCGCTTCATTATACATCCACGAGAGTACAAGCTACAGGTGCTAATAAACTTGTTTCCAACAGCCTTTGCAATGTTTCTCATTTGTCATTCGGGATAAAATCAACGGTCAATGTGCTTCTACTTGGACAAAAAACGTGACGTTAGATCAAATACACATCCCCAAAAGGTTTTTTCGCATAAGATCGTCCTCAATCTTGGCATGCGGTAAAGATTTCCTTTCTTTTTACGATTATCAGTTGTCATAATCCCACCATAGTTATCACTAAGCCCTTCATCCACAGCAAAGCTGTTCTAGTATATACAATCAGCTTTCGATCTACTTTACAACTTGACACCGAGTTTCCAGAACTTAGACTTGTCAACGTGGTGCAATCAACCTCATTTTCGGCTCCGAAATAAGATATTGTGCAACCTATTGTTATCACTCACTCACCTATCTCGGTGACACCTCAACAGTTGCTCTCAGAAAGGCTTAGAGTAGCACGTGGTCCTAAAAAAATAACTAAAATGACCACCTCATTCCCTTTGTGGCTTATAGAAATTTATGCAGATGTTATTTAAGATAAGCGCCTTCATTGATGAAGTGACCTTGCACAAAATGATGCCATTATAAAGACTAGAAGAAGGACTACTGGAGACCTAGCATTTGCACATGCATTATGAACTCCTCTAAGTAAACGTAATGGTCATTAGTGTCAACAGACGTTAGTTCAAAGTTAAACTATTAAACTCACTAGAAAATTTTTTACATGCCAAGATTCACCATTCACTTACTGATTTCTTCTGTAAAGGCACTTCCCTTTTAGAGCATTGCGGTGAGGCAAGAAAGGCCGTACCCCTTTTCTACTGATCTTGTGAACAACCTAGTTCCCGTAACAAATAATCCACAAAAGATGTGGGCTGCTAATGTAATTAGTTGTTAATGGCAAACTATGGCCACTGGAGTCCACCTTACAAAACTTTAACCTCACAGTAATGAATTGGGTTTGAAAAATAACCTGTCATCCCACAATGTGTGGGCTCCATTATACTTAAGCTTTTTTAGTAGCAAGTTTATTAGCAATTTGTGGATTACCTTCTGGTCGCCACTTAGAGATTGCAAATGTAAATTGACAACCACCAGAACAAAGGTGCTGGAGGATTGCATTGATTCAAGGTATCCATGTACTAACATGCTAAAGTAAATTTTGACTCAATGCGGAATTAGTCAAACAAATTCTTTCAATCAAACCATCCCGGCATGCAAAAAATGGACAGTGGTAGCATAAATAACTCCTGCTACCTCCGAATAAGTGACTATGCACCAGTACAAGATAGTATTATGGATACTTTTGAGATATAAACAAACATTAACGAAGACAGAGCAAAATGATTGCGTCATGGCAAAACTAATAATACTTTTAGTACATTTTTGTTATTTCTGGCAGGGAATGCATAATTTTACTTATTCTTGTTTAGACGAATATTCAGAATTATAGGTAATAGATAATAACTACTTTATGTGAGGTGTGTCAAGCGTTTCTCTATTTCTTCTTTACCGTAGTCTTATATTCTTCAGGGAATTACCCCTTTCTAAGTAAATTTGTGCATTCACTATTAATAGATCTAGACCTAATGTAACACCCCGAGCCTTTCTTAATACTTGGGCGGGAAGTGTATTGCCAGCGTGCAGAAGGGTTCAAGGGCTGCATGAATGGTCCGGAGTCACTGCCGCTTAAAAGAAGTACAACAGCGGGGACTTAAGGGTCCGCGAAACCAAAGTGAAGAGATAAACAAACATCTAATGTATTACTGTATTATTCGTGGTAAAACGCAGTGCAAGTTCTTTCCCAGCATACTTTTTAGAAACACAGATGACCTAGAAACTCCGGTAATAATCAGTCAGGAACGGTTGATTGCACTGCATAGCTACACCCGTGATTTATTACGCCAGCTATAATAGTAGTGCTCACAGTGAATTGTGGAAATAAAGTAATTTTCTGTCAAATGTTTAATATTAAAAGTCTGTTTAACAAAAAATGCCCGCACTATTAACTCACGTTCGTACTCAATTTATTCCCCCGCGTAATAGTAGTCGCATGTCGGTAAGTTAGCATTTCAATGCCTCCCAAAGTATTTCATATTTTAAAGACAAAAGAAGGCAAAAATCATGATTTATACCGGGCACTCAATTTTAGGTTGTTTTTGTTTATATGCATCAGTGATGATGCATAAAGTAGACTTTTTATAGAACAAATCTGAGTCCTCCAGAGTAAAGGTGATAGGTGTATAACGAAATATTTAAATGGGAAAAGTTTAGTATGTCTGAGAGGTAATAGAAATCAGCAGGGTATTAACTATAAAATGAATTCCTTGCAGTCAGCCTTTAAGGCGATATAAGCTACAGTAGTAGACAGGAAGGGCAAATGGATCCGGGCTGCCATGGACACGTGTAGAATTTTGTACGGATAAGTAGGAAGGTGAATCCTAGGAATATGACGAGCCAGTGAAGACCAAAGATCACGGGTAAATAAGTACGCAACTCAAAGCAGCTACCGATAGCACTGCATTCATTAGCGAGCTAGCGTCAAAAATCCAGTTCTACTGTAAATTTAGAAGTAGAATTGGTGATTGCTCAAATGATAAAAGAGTATCCTTAAAGTACATTAATATATTTTCCCTGGTTGACTCAATAACAAAAAGTAGCACAATTCAAATGCGCCTTCCACCAAAAAATATGCCATTGGCAGCTTGCTCCTCCGGCCGACAAAGCCACGTGACAGATGCTAAGAAGATGATGGTTCGTATTTTCCCTGTTCTACATCCGCCACAGATCACCATTTCTAACCCATCTCAACTTTTGCACCAAAAGTTATTGTCATATTCTTCTACATACAAAGCTGACATTTAGTGGGGGAAACCTCCTTGAATGCAAACCTTATACTTACTGGTTATTCTATGCGATGTACATGCGCACCAGATTAGGACACAGAGAGAGTTGTCTTGATTATGCAGCCGTATAAATTTTCCACAGAATTTGTCTCAAATCATTGAAGGTGTGGTAAACCAAAAAGCATCAGTAAAATCTGGTTTAAACATGCTGATGTGCATAATGGATCATTGAGACACCCATCATGTTTCGGTGAACGCATTAGCCTTTATCATGACTACTTGCTTATCACTGTTTGAAGCGCCAATTGAGATTGGCGTCTATAAGAGCTTGTGGTGGCATTTCATGTGGATGATAAATCACTTTTTTTATCATACATCTAGTGAGGAAGTTGTGGAAGGAAAAATGGGTA